TATCAGATTTCACACAGCCCAATAGATTTAAGCTATTCTCTAGCAAGAAGATGAAAAGAAACCACTTGACCTTGAATTCCTTCTAAAGCACACTTCAGATAGGGAAGTAACATTGCTTTAATTTCCACCCTACAGCTCTCCTTCCTCAGCAGCACAGCACAGCCACGAGGGCCTGGATCAAAAGCTATTCTTTCAGGCTGAAAAACTCCCTGAGAAGTTTTCAAAATGCCAAAATATCAAGGCATTTTTTTTGGTCTCTCCTATCAAATCGGGGATCTTTTAAGATCAAAGGGTGCTTTTTGGGCAAGAATAAACTCCAAAGTTCACATTGAAGGTCAGATTCATCCAACCACAACCTATTCCTGAGCATTTCTCTCTGCTGCGACACAGAACCTCAAGACCAACACATCAAACCTTTCATGTGCCACAGTGGAATTAAGTAGGCTCGTCTCAGAAGAGTGTTTTGGTCATTCCAGTGACCATCCTGTCACTTCTTGGTTGCCTCAACTCCTCCTACAGTGCATTGCAGACGAATCATCTAAATAGAGTTGGTTAAATCGTGCATTCAGGTTCTATTATGAGGCTTGAGGTCACGAGAAGGAACAAAACATTTTTCTGAGCCGTAAGAATCCTTAATTCTGAGAGAATCAGAGCACTGCAAAACACTTGCAAACATTTTCTTTCAGCAGAATCAGTTTTCCTTCCAAAAGGTATTGCCATTATACAAGGAAAAGTGCTACAACCACGAGGTCTTAAAGTGCAGCTGCAGTTCCTTTTCCTACAGCACACGAACCAGCTCAAAATGAACAGAAAGGTCACAGCTGCTCAGAACCACTTGCACTTATTTATGCATTAAAACAATAAAGCAAAATGCTGCTGCCTTCTCAAAATAGGTGATTCTTTCCCAGTCTCATAATTCTATCCAGAAGATACCTTACAGTCTCACATTTCAAAGCTGTGCTGCTTTGTTCCTATGCATGAAAGTCAGGGATGAGCCTGAGGATTCCCTCACTCCCCAGAACGACTCTGTGTTGCCAAACACTCACTAAGTTCTGTGGCTCCTCAGCAACACCAGTCTTTTGTAAAGAATTCCTGATCTGCAGTGTTTTTCTTACTGCAAATGGGTCACATTCACCAACCAGCAGCTCTGCAACGCATTACTTACACTTCTGTGCACCTTTGTACAAAAAGAGACAGTCAAAAGCACCTCTAAGCTGTTCTGGCTGTATCAGAGGATGGGCTGTTTTGTAAGCAAGGGTCCACACTACTATGTCAGCTTTTATGGTGTACCTAAGAAGTGCTGCTGAAGCACCAAGATGCTCTAAGTTGTTAAAGACAAGACTCTCTCATGAAGTGTTCAGGGGTGTAAGGTGAACAGGGGTGTTGCCTTCCATAATTATTCATTGAAACGGAGTGCAAAAACTATTAGAAAGAGATATCAATATCTAGTTCTAGAGCAGCAGATCTGCAGCTCAGCACAGGACCATTACTGCTACAGGCTGCATTCACAGCATGGAGAGGGAGATTCTTCACAGCTTGAAGGTGTGATGATTTATTTTCAGAGTTTAAGATCCGGCACAAATACTGAGCTTCAAACAAGTGAAAAGGATAAATACATGCAAAGCTCCAGGAGCATTTAGAGTCACCTTATCCTTACTAAGAAGACATGCTATTGTCTGATAGGAAGGCACAGAGCAAGCAGGCACCTGTATAAAACAGCCACATACAGCTTAAAGAAGAAAATGCTTAATGCCATTCAGAACTCAGCCAATGAAAAGCCACGTTAATATTCAAGAGCAAAGCAACCTCTTTCTGAATATTCACACAAGTCAGCTACCTGTCGGCGACAGCCAACCACGTATCTTGGTCCATTTGTAGCCTTCACGATGACTAGAGAAAAAAGATCACAGAAAACAGTCAGTTAGCCTGATTCACAGCTCCAAATTATACCTCTGAACTATTGAGGATATCCTATTTTCCTGCCAATACTGACATCACTAACGCTCTGATTCTTTACAATTGCCCATCTTTAGATGGGTTTCAACTGCAAAAGCTGACTTACAGAACTTCAGAACAGATGATGTACTTACATTTCTCTTCTGTTAGCTGTTTGAGCACCTCGCCAACGATCTGCAAAGGAGTAAATGCAGTATTAGCCTACAGATTAACTCACCCTTACCAAACAATATTTAACGTATGCTTCAGCATACAGAAGATGGCTTTGAAATTCTTTCTCCTGCTTCAAGTTTTACATTAGCGCTTTAATTTCTTCTAACAATTTCTATTAGAAAGGACAAAGAAAGAAAACCTTTCTAACAGATATGTATGGTATGACAGCTCCTGGTGGTGAGGTCCTCCTTTCTGTCTGCTGCACCATCCCCACTTTTTCTTTGTAATAATATGAACAGCTGCTAGGCAAGTTGTTCCAGCTACTTCTAGGCAAGCTCACCATCACAGCCATAAGCTGTTACGACTTTGCCTCTTACATACCTGCCCAACACTCTGCAAGGCCTTGAGATCATTTTCTGACTTCTCATACTGCTTGGTGAGCTCCTTCAGCTGCTCCCTTACTAGACAAAGAAAGAGGCACACAGGTTTTGATAACTTCCAGCCCTCCAGGAAACAGGGATCAGCAGAAAAACAGCAGGTGGAAGCCGTGCACACTCTGCAAGTCACCCTGCTGCTCAGCAATTACCAAAGCAGCCATTTGTGAGCACAGCCACAGGAGGAGGCTGTGTTGGAAGGACCCTTAAACCTCCCCCAGCCCAGCCGCCCAAGCCCTGTAACAGACGGGGCACCCACAGGTCGGGGCAGCGCCTCACCGCCCTCCGATTAAATAACTCCCCCCCGGCGCACGCCCCAAACCCCTCCTCTTTTACTTTAAAGCCCTTTCCCCTCCTCCTGTCGCCATCGGACCGCCATCTCCCGGTTTACAACCCCCCCTCCACGCACCGATGGCCGCACCGAGGTCTCCCCGGAGCCTTCCCTCCCCGCGCCTTCCCCTCATCCTCCCGCACAGCACAGGCCCATCTCGCGGCCCCGCCCGCTCCCCTCAGTCGGCCGCCGTCCGCGGGGCCGGGCCCATGACGAAGCGCGAGCAGCGTCACGGCGCGGCGGCCCCGGGGCTCCGCTCAGAGCCCTCACACACCCGACGGCCTTCCCGCCGGGCCGCCACTCACGCTCTTTGAGGCGCCCGTCGATCTCCTTGTGCTCCAGCAGCTTCTTGCGATAGTCCTGCAGCGCCTTGTCTCTCGGGTCCGCCATGATGAGCAGCCGCCGCTCATAGGGAATGCCGGGAAGGGCCATGGCCGCCGGGGGGCCGCCCCGCGCCGCCGCCCCGCTCCGCCCCGCGCGCGGCCCCGACCGCCCCTCCGGCACACGCGGCGTGCGGCAGCGCCCCCTGCCGGCAAGGAGGGGCGCCGCGCGTGAGCCGCGCCTCGCTCCACGCGCGCGGAGGGGCAGCCCTGCGCATGCGCGTTCTGTCAGGCGGGAGCGGGCAGCGCGCGTCGAACGGGGCGCGTCTTCCGTTGTGAGGGAGGTTGTCGTTGGTCGCTCCGAAAGTAACGCCTGCTTGTTACAGAATCATAGAATCACAGAACGGCCCGGGCTGGAAGGGACCTCAAGAAGCTCCAACCCCCCTGTGCCATGCAGGGCCACCAACCTCCACATTTCACAGCAGCCCAGGCTGCCCAGGGCCCCATCCAACCTGGCCTTCAACACCTCCAGGGATGGACGGGGCATCACAGCCTCTCTGGGCAGCTGTTCCAGCACCTCACCACTCTCACAGCACACAACTTCCCCCTGACAGCCAACCTCCATCTGCCCTCCCTCAACTCCAAACCATTTCCCCTTGTCCTGCTGCCATCTCCCCTTGCCAAGAGCTGACTCCCCTCCTGTCTGCAGGCTCCCTTTAGGTACTGCATTTTCTCCATGCTGAACAAGCCCAGCTCCCTCAGCCTGTCTTTGTAGTGGAGGTGCTGCAGCCCCCTGCTCATCTCTGGCTCCTCTGGACCCTCTCCAACAGCTCCCTGCCTTTCCTGGGGGCTCCAGACCTGCACACAGCACTGCAGATGGGGCCTCACAAGAGCAGAGCAGAGGGGGACAATCACCTCCTGTCCCTGCTGCCACCCCTCTGCTGATGGAGCCCAGGGCACCATTTGCCTTCCAAGCCACAAGAGCACACTGCTGGTTCACGTTCAGCTTTTCATCCTTCAGGACCCCCAGGACTTCTCTGCAGGGCTGCTCTCAAGCACCGCTCCTTCCAGTCTGTATGGATGCCTGGGATTCCTCCAGCTCAAATGCAAAGCTCTGCACTTTGCCGTGCTGAACCTCATCAGGTTCTCTCTGCCCACCTTTCCAGCCTCTCGAGGTCCCTCTGAATGGCATCCCTTCCTTCTACTGTGTTGACTGCACGATTCAGCTTGGTGTCGTCAGCAAACTTGCTGAGGGTGCACTCGATTCTGTCATTGATATCATTGATAAAGACAGCACCGCTGGGATGCTGCTCGTCACTGGCCTCCACCTGGACACAGAGCCATTGACGACCAACGGGAAATCATTCCTTCATTCCTATGGGAAATTATTCCATTATTCCTACGGGAAACACGACACGAGAAATACAACAGCAACGTGCGATGGAGCGAATTCTCAGCTACAAGCCGCATTTTTTCAACGCAGTCCCCGCCGCCGTGTATTTTCTCTATCCCGCCCCTTTGCTCCCGTGCCGCCGTGTCAGCGAGCTCCTCCGCTGCCGTCTGTCACAACGCCCCGCAGCGCGGGCACAGGGCCGCCGTCCCACCGACACCCAGCCCAAAACAGCGGGCGTTACTTTTGGTGCGGCCCTGGTGGATGGAACCGGCTTTATTTCGTGCTCGCGTTCAGCCCGGGGCGGGGCAGAGCAGCGCTCCGCCTGCTGGGAGCCCCGTTCGGCGACCAAACGCCGCCGGATCGTTGCCAACGCAGTCAGAGGGCGCGACGTGCCGGCGCAGGGCGGGACAGAAGCGTGCAGCGGAACGGGGCGGAGCGGAGCGCGGCTCCTCCGGCCCTCGGCGGCGGTGCTGGGATGGCGGCGGGCGGAGCGCTGCTGCGGGCGTTGGGTTTTGCCGCCCTTCTGCTGCCCGCCGCTCCACGCGGGTCGCCCGGATCTGCGGAGCGCCGCTGCTTCTGCCAGGTGAGCTGCGGCGGGTTGGCGGGGGGCTGCGCTCGTTGCGTGGGGCGGCCCGAGCTTGGGGATCGCAGCACGCGGTGCCTTCCGAGCTGCCATCCTAGGGTTGGTGCCTGGAGGTGGGTTGCTGCTCGCTTCGCTTTGCGTGAGTGCGAGTGGCTGCGGTGCGCTCGGCGCCCGGCGGTCCGCTCAGAACTGCGTGAAAATCAGTGCTGAAACGTGAATCGGAAGCCGGGAGTGGGAAAAGAAAAGGCGCGGGGCTGGGGCTTTGCCTTCTGGGTGGTTCGTGATGGAAACGGCAGATCAAAACCAGTGCTGATAGAGAGCTGCACCTGTGCTTTTCATTTCTTTATCGCTGTGCTTTCCTGCTTCGGGAGGTTTGCCTCGTCAGGCTGAGTCAGGAGCACGGTGTGGTGAGCAGCCCTTGCTGCTAGAAGCAAGTGAGAGAGAGTGGTTAGGCCCTGGAACGGGCTGCCCAGGGAGGTTGTGGATGCCCCGTCCTTGGACGTGTTTAAGGCCAGGTTGGACGGGGTCCTGGGCAACCTGATCTGAATGTGGATGTTTGGTGGCCCTGCTAGGCAGGGGGGTTGGAACTGCATGATCCTTGAGGTCCGTTCCAACCCGGGTGATTCTGTGATTCTGTGATCCTGTGAAGCTCTGCTGTTCTGGCACGATGATGGCTTGCAGGCTTCGTTCCTTGGGCACAGAGTGCTGGCATTGTGCTGTGGTTTGTTGCTGTTTTCTTTGGGGGCTGTTCCTCTGGCCATTAGGGGTGATTCTGAGCACTGACTTCCTTGTTATCTGAGCAGACTTTCAAGCGACTCTTGCATTCTTGTTAAACTGGTGCTTCCCAGAGAGCTCTGCCGTCCCTGTGGGAGGGAACGGGGGGTACTGCCCAGAACACTGGAATCACAGACCCATAGAATGGCCTGGGTTGCAAAGGAGCACAGTGCTGATCCAGCTCCAAGCCCCTGCTGTGTGCAGGTCGCCAACCAGCAGCCCAGGCTGCCCAGAGCCACATCCAGCCTGGCCTTGAATGCCTGCAGGGATGGATGGGGCATCCACAGCCTCCTTGGGCAACCTGTGCCAGTGCCTCACCACCCTCTGGCTGAAGCTGGAGCTGCGGATTCTTTTCTAAGAGATGCTTGCAGGTGATACATACTCTCTGTAGGGTTCCTGTGCTCTGTTCTGGCTGCAGGTGGGAGATACAGAAAGGAGTTTGCTCTGTTTCCTGCCCAGCTGTGCAGTAAGTGGTGGTGTATGGGTTAGGGAGGGAGCCTGTAGCGAGAAAAGAAAGCCCTAAATGCACTGCCCAGGAGCATTTCTGTGATGTTGAGTGAACTGGGAAGAGATGAAGATCGCTGCTGGAGCCTGGGATGGAGACAAAGGAGAATGAAGCAAAGGCCAAAACTAAGGATGACACAGAGTCCACGTGAGGTGATGTTCCAACCCGTGGTACGCACCCATGGAGGATACATCAATGCTGTGGCACTTTGGAGAGCCAGCAGAGCACATCCCTGGCTGCTTGCTCAGCAGCTGGAGCCATTGGGGTGTGCGTCTGTCCCAGCGGCTCCGTTGCATCTCTCCCCGCAGACCCAGCCCTGCTGCCCATCCCATGCCATGCTGGGCTCCCACACCCTGCCTGGGTGGAGCAGAACCCATGGCTGCTGCTGAGCTCAGTGATTTCACAGGTGCCAGGAAGCATGTGGCACCTGTTTGGGACTTGGTGAAGTTCTGTTTCATCTGAAACAACTGTTCACATTGTTGCAGGCTGAAGACACAGATGTTTGGGGAGCAGGGAAGGTGTCTTAAGGCATCACCCTCTCAGGAGAGTGCTTACCTGGAGTTCTTTACAGGGTGATATTGTGCTGGGTTAGTTCTAGCTCGATTTGGCCACTACACCTTGCACATTCAGGCCTGGTACAAACATTATACAGAATCATGGAGTGGGTTGGCTTGGGTGGCACTTGAAGACCATTCAGTCCCACAACCCCTGTTGTGGGCTGGGTGCCCCCCATCCACATCCACAGCCTCAGGCACCTGTAGGGATGGGGCACCACAGCTCCAGCAGTGCCAGCTGGAGATTCTACAGGTGTTTCTGAAGGTAATTTCTAGAGCAGCTGAGGCATGGCCCAGTCTGCAGGCTGCCTTGCTCAGGGGTTGCCAGGCTTCCAGGAATGTGTGGTTTGGGGTTTTCTATTTTTGTTGGTTAGCCTTCTTAATTTTGAAACAGGTTTATGTTGGGTAACTGGATTACCAAATCGGTGCTGGTATTTTTTTTTTAATGGGGGTGGTTTAGGCTAGTGGAAATCTTCATTGCTATGCTGACAATCTTAGTTTCCATTACTTTGCAAACTTACTTTGCAGAGTACAGCACAGTGGGGTGTTGGGCTTCAGTGTGAATGCAAGAAGCAAACCTGCACAGCACAGTGACTTAGCACTAAGGATTGCTCAGGTGGCAAAGGGCACTGGGGCTCACTGTATTTCCCTTCACACCCATTTAAATCAGCATGGCTCAGTCTAAACCATCAGTGCCTTCAATGAAGAAGCTTTGTTTCCTAAGCACCGAGTCCCACCCTGGGTCTGATTGTTGCTTCCTTCCCCTCCTGCCCGGGGGAACCTGCAGTTCCTTTAAGGTCTGGCTGTCCAACACAGGCTGTGGTTTCTTCCCCTCCCCTTTCTGTGTGCTCTGAGGGCGAGGGCTCATTGCCTTCCTTCTCAGAAAGAGGGCACGGAGCTCTGCTGCTGCAGTGGTGATCGCTGTGGTTCTGGGAAGATTGATGTGTGCCTCTCTGAGTGACCTGAGGGCTCTGGTGATGTGCATCAGGCCATGTGTTCCACGCTTCTCACGTGGCTCTTCCTCTTCTCTCCACACGCAGTAATTTGTTTTGCCCTAATTGCAAAGGACACTCTTCCTTGGAGGCTTTTCCTTGAGGCCTGCAGGGTTGTGGTCTGTGTGCTGGGGGAATGCTGCTTTGTGCTGGCTGCTGCCAGAACCTGCCGAGCTTCTGGAACAGAGGCAGCCAGGGGATTTCTCACTGTGAATATCCCACACTCACTTCATAACTCAGCAGTACCCATTTAAAATGACCACCTTGGTCTTAAACTGATCTACTCCTGGTGGATGGCAGCTGCCGACTGTTGTATTGCTACCTCAGCACGTGGGGAAATTCCCTGGTGCCCAGCTGAGAGGGAATGAGTGGTATGCTCTGTGCACACGGTGATTTCCCTGAGTGCTCATCACGGGGCTGGGAAGCAGCAGACCTTCTGCTGTGTGTCTTTCTCCCGCAGGCAGTAAGCTACGTGTCAGAAAGCCACAGCTGAATTTGTGTTGCTTTGGTTTTATTTTCTGCGGGGCTTTCACACAGCGTGAGTTGTTCAGGATGATGCAAGGAGTATTGGCTTCCTGCAGCAGATCTGCAGCAGATGTTTCCTTGCCAAACGGCTGCCAGGGGCACAGGGAAAGGCTGTTGCAGTCTCTGTGGTTCTAATCACATCACATGGCTGCAGCAGGGACTTCAGCTGAGTGCCGTAACCTTTGGTGGCATTACTGTTGCTTAATTAGACCCTCGTGCTGATGGCAGCTGTTAGCTGTGTGCCACCCTGCCCAGAGTGGCATGCTGGTGTCAAACGAGAGCCTGGGCTGCTGTGTCAGCTGGGTTTGGTCTTGATGAAAACATCTGTGTCTTGTTTAGCTGTGTGTTATCTCTGCTCCCTGAAGAGATGGCGGTGTCTGCCTGATGCTCTGGCATCAGTAAACTCTTAACATACCTGTGTGTGTTAGAGGAAAAATGTGTTTAATCACAGAACCACAGCATGGCCTGGGTTGCACAGGAGCACAGCGCTCATCCAGCTCCAAGCCCTGCTGTGTGCAGGTCGCCAACCAGCAGCCCAGGCTGCCCAGAGCCACATCCAGCCTGGCCTTGAATGCCTGCAGGGATGGGGCATCCACAGCCTCCTTGGGCAACCTGTGCCAGTGCCTCACCACCCTCTGGCTGAAAAACTTCCTCCTCATATCCAACCCAAACCTCCCCTGTCTCACTTTAAAACCATTCCCCTTGTCCTATGGACAAAAATTGCTTGCCCCCAACAAAGGCAAAAGACAGGTCCTAAAGGATGCATCACAAGGAATTCTTTGGCAATTCAGCACGTTCAGCTTTATTGAGCCATTAAAGTAAGAAAAGAGCTCTGAGATCATCAAGTCCAACTGCCAACCCATCACCACCAGCCCACTGAACCTGTGCTGTTTTGTTCTGGTCAGATTTAGGGCAATGACTCGCTGGAAAATGAAAGAAAATCCTGAATTGTGTTACCTGTGCTGACCAAGTTGTTTGTGCTTCATGTTCTGCACCAACAGGTTACTGGCCATTTAGACGACTGCACGTGTGATGTAGAAACCATCGATGCCTTCAACAACTACAAGCTGTTTCCTAGGCTGAATCAACTTCTGGAAAGTGACTATTTTAGATACTACAAAGTAAGTTTCCCATACAAGAAATAGATGAATATTTCTCAATGATTTGCTATGCTTTTTTTTTTTTTCTTTCTTTCTTTGTCCCATGGAAGTTATTGCTGATCTCTTACAATCAGATACCCCTTTTTCAGCCAGGCTGCCCAGGATCCCATCCAACCTGGCCTTGGATGCCTCCAGAAGTGGGGCATCCTCAGCCTCTCTTCGTTCCGCAGCGTTGTTTCCTCTGAGGAGCTGAGGCAGTAGAACAGTTTGTTGAATTAGGGCTCAAAAGAGCTGATGACAGATGTCCAAATTGCATGATGAGGATGCTCTTGGTGTCTTCCTGTCAATGAGGAAAGCCTGGTTTAGCTGTCAGTCAGATGAAGTGATTGCAGTTATGCCAGGCCATCACTGTTAGATGATGTCTGCTCCCATTCAGTGAGATTGCATCTGTGTGACTAACTGTGGGTTTGTTTGGGTGTGCTTGGGTTGTGGCCAGAATCTTACCTGCCAAGGTCATGTGCTGAACAGTGACTGTTTCCTGATTGCTTCAGCAGACAAGAAAGAATTGATGTTCTTCCATAAGAAGGGTATAAAATGTTCTCAACTTCTTTTCCTATGAAGAAAGGTTGAGGGAACTGAGCTTGTTGAGCTTGGAGAAGAGAAGGCTGTGGGGAGACCTCATGGTGGCCTTCAGTGCTTGAAGGGAGCGGATAAACAGGAGGGGAACGGCTGTGTGTGAGGGTGGGTGGTGATGGGACAAGGGGAATGGTTTTAAAGTGAGACAGGGGAGGTTTGGGTTGGATATGAGGAGGAAGTTTTGGAGCCAGAGGGTGGTGAGGCACTGGCACAGGTTGCCCAAGGAGGCTGTGGATGCCCCATCCCTGCAGGCATTCAAGGCCAGGCTGGATGTGGCTCTGGGCAGCCTGGGCTGCTGGTTGGCGACCTGCACACAGCAGGGCTTGGAGCTGGATGAGCACTGTGCTCCTGTGCAACCCAGGCCGTGCTGTGGTTCTATGAACTTTGCTGCACTGCAGATTAGAACAGCTCCAAATCACCAGCAGACCTGCTGGCTCATAAGATGTACAAAATACCCAACCAGAAAGGGTTGTGAGTGCTCAAAGAGCATCAAGGTGTGAGCACAGAACGTCTGATAGCACAGATAGTCTTGGCTGTACTGCATGAATACACACATCCTGCATGGGAGACACATGAATGAACATGGCAGGCTGAGATCAGGCCTTTGAAGTGAAGGCCCTTTGCTTGCACTTGCACCGCAGTGCTCAGCTCTGCGCTGTGTTAGCAGAGGCCTTTCAGTGAGCTAGCGGTGCGTGCTGGCAGGCTGTGGTGTGGAAGGTTGGCTTGGCTGCACGGAAGAAGCGTGTAACAGGGTGATGTGTTGTTTGTAGGTGAACCTCAAGAAACCCTGTCCTTTCTGGGATGACGACAGTCACTGTGGAATAAGAGACTGCGCTGTCAAACCCTGCCCGTCTGTGAGTAGAGAACCGGTCACTTCTCCATTTTCTCTTTGGCCTTTGCAGCAGGTAAAGATCTTTCTGTGCTGGCTGCTGAGCCGCAGTTCTGCTGTGGCTGCAAAAGAGGCTTCCTCAGGCACAGTACTGCTGGGATCCCTAAAGAAGAGCTCGAATGGTGAATTCTGACACCTTGAAGAAAGGCTGGGCTTCTGACAGCCAGCCCTCCACCAATGGAAGCTCTTGGCCTGGCCCCTCTTTTATTTGATGCATTAGTAGAATGATTTTAGGGGCAATCCCCTGGTGCTGTGTACTGTGTTAATTGGCACACGTTCAGCCCGCTAGCCTATGAGCTACACAGCGATTTATTTTGTCTGATGAATTCAGCCAAGCCCTTTCCAGCAGTCTCTATACATAAAATAGCTCTTTCAGAGTCCTGCTTCCCAGCACAAAAGCAGATACCTTTGCCTTTGCATCCTGGACAGAAGGGGTTTGTTCACTGATCTGGAAGAAGACATGGTGACTGCAGGGGTCTGTCTGAAAAGAAGGGGAAAAGAGGGAGGGAATTAGGACTTGGTTGCTGGGCTGGTAGATGTGGTGAAAATGCCCCCAGCCTGGCTCTGTGGGGTGGCAGGCAACTGCAGGCTGTCTTACACGCTCCTGCTGGGGTCTCCAGAGCACTCCGTGTGCTGAGGCTGCACTGGGATATGCTGTGCTGGTGGTACAGTGCAAGGGCAGGAGGAAACCCTAATTGCATGCATTTACCAAACAACTGCAGCTTATTTTTGTGCACAGCTTAAAGTAGAATGCCATGGAGATGTCTGCTCCTCACCTGGGAGCTCTGTGAAACCTGAAGTAATGCAGCTGCTGGCTTGGCTGGAAAATGTCTGAGGTGATATGGCAGCAACAGAGCGCGGTGTGTGCGTGTGAGAACAGCACTCCTTCTATACATTCTGATCTGTGTACTACATTCACCTCGTTCCCCTCTCCCATGCACTTCCCTACCCTTCCAACAGCTCCTTTGGTGGTGACTCCATACAGCTGCTGTGGGAGGCTTCAGGATGATGTATATCAGGGCTGCAAGAGCTGAAAAGAGGCAGCTGGGCTTCTGCCAGCATCACCTGGAGGTGGGGTGGCAGCCAGCAGCTGCTCTGGAGTCTGGGTTGGCATCTTCTACCTTGTGCTTGGTGAGCAGAGCACGGCCTGGTGGAGCACTGTGGAAGGCTGCTGAGCTATTGAGAATGAGATTCTTGCGAAAAACCAAAATAAAACACTGGGAATGTTGCTTAACTTTTGTCTGTGGAGGAGCCAGCAATTAGAGATGGTGTAAGCTAAGCTGAGGGATTTGATTGATTCCTTTTAAGCCCTGGGAGCTGCTGTAACCTTCCTAATCTTTTTCAAACATTAGACTGAAAGGCTTTGTCAGCTTCAGATGTAACACGTGCCCAATTTTGTCTTTCAGGACGAAGTCCCTGATGGAATCAGATCTGCAAGTTACAAGGTAGGTTTGTCTGCATGCACAGAGTGATGCTGCTTGTGGGACTTTGAGTCACTGTGAGTGATAAAAGCCCTTTGGAGGCTTCCCCAGGGTCCAATGTGTCAGAGCCTGCTGTGAGTCCCTGCAGCAATCCCCACAGCTGCGCCAGGCCCTGACTATTTGCAGACATCTTGTGGAAATATCAGTTGTTAGACTAGAAGTGTTTCTGATGCTCAAACTATATGTGCAGCAAAGGCCAAATTACAACATCAGCATGCCCATGTTTTGATCTTTGCTTCTCAATGCAGTATTCAGAGGAAGCCAACAGCCGTGCTGAAGAATGTGAAGAAGCCAGCAGGCTTGGGGCTGTGGATGAGTCACTGAGGTATGACTTCTTCCCACAGCCCATGCTTGTCTTGAAGGAACCTCAGCATCAGTGCTCTGTCTGATGCTCTTCGTCCTTTCTTTGCAGCAAGGAAACCCAGCAGGCAGTGCTTCAGTGGACGTCGCACGATGACTCTTCAGACAGCTTCTGTGAAGCTGATGGTATAACGACCCGTTTGACCTGACCAACTCTAAGCAGCTCAAGTTCTCTGCAGAGCTTTGAGGCTAAAGTGTGGTATTCCAGCAAGCCTGAATTGTATATGGTGTTTCTTCTCCCTCCCCATGCCTTAATCCTGTAGAAAATAATCAAAAGCTTCGCTGCTGCTCAGGGTCCTGCAGCGAGTCAGTGAGCTCAGTGCTCAGAGGCGGCTTTGCCATCTGTGGCGCTGCAGGGGGTCAGTGTGCAGCCAGTGCTGGGCACCTGCCTGCTTGGAGGGCTGCTCAGTACGCAGAGGGGAGGCTGGGTTGGCTTTGGAAGGTGCTGTTTCTTTAGAAGCTGCCGTCAGTGACTGGCGTTCTGCTCCACAGACATCCTTTCCCCCGACGCAGAGTATGTGGATTTGCTCCTGAACCCCGAGCGCTACACTGGCTACCGAGGGCCGGATGCCTGGAAGATATGGAACAGTATTTATGAAGAAAACTGCTTCAAGTAGGTGCTTTGGGACACAGGTGCCACAAACCTTGAGTCACTGTGAGCCCTGACTTCTGCAGAGGGGCTGCGTGTGCTACAGCTGCTCTGCTAACCCCCATCTTCCAGTCTTTGCTGCATGCTGTGAGGTGCGGGCTGTGGGAGCAGGGGAGGAGCTGTATGGCTGCCCCAGGCTGTTCCTCGTGCCACAGCTCTGCAGAGTGGGGATCCAGCAGGGTGTGCATCCCTGGTGTGATGTGGTCCTCATCACGCAGCCCTGTTGTCCCTGGTGTCGTACCACGAGCTCCCTGCCCAGTCCTTGCCAGCTGGATCTCTGCTGAGGTCTGTTGCTGGGGCTGTGCTGGTGGACGCTGCTTGTAGCCTTGTGTGCCTTGTGTCACCTTTCCAGCAATTTCCTCTCTGCAGCCTCGTTTTGCACCAGGGCCATGAGATGATGTCCACAAACACTCCTCTAGGCACTGGATTTTCCCCTAGCTGTCTTTTTTTTTCTGATCTCTCTTTACTCTTTTTCTGTTGGAGCAGGAGGACCTCTTAGATCTTCCTAGGCTATTTGGCTGCAGAAAAGTAATTTCTTCCGCTGTTGTTTCTGCACAGTAAGAGACAGTCACGTATTTACTTACCTAAATGACCTATTTTTTTTTCCTCTTAGGCCTCAGAATGTGAAAAGACCTTTGGCATCTGGTAGAGGTGAGTCACGTATTCATCTTGCTAAGTGGTTTGGTAGCGTACTGCTCGAGCTCAACAGCTTCCTTTACAACAGCAGCAAATACTGTGTGAGCTACTTTTGCTGAACGAGGGCTGTGTTACAGCTCTTCATCAAGTCTAGAATAGCTATGGCCAATGGAATGGGTGTCCAGCACCCAGAAGGAGAAGGAAGGTCTGATTCTCAGGGTCTTGGAGAGGCTGGGGACAGAGCTGAACCCTGCATCAGTGCTTTCTGTGCTCAGCAATGCCAAACCATCTGGGAGGGTCTGAAATAAGACCCTGGCTGGGATCCTCGGGGGAAAACATTTAATAGGAGAAACTGCCTTAGGGGCAAAGTGTAAATGAAAGTCGGGAGGGGTCTCAGGAGCATACAGACAGCTGCAGGCTCAAGGCTGCTAAGAGAGCCTGTGTTTGCTGATGCCACATCATGCCCAGGCATTTGAACATCATCAGTATGCTGATGGCCTGAACTCCAGCAGTGTCCTCTGAGGAGTTGTCTGGACTTTCCCTATCCTCTGCAGGTGGTTTTCCCACTCCTTTCAGCTTTGCATGGAGGAGTGACACTTTAAGCACGGCAGTAATGAGCGAAGCACGCCGTGCCCTTTAAAATCCCAGTGTTTGTCGTGAGGGGTGCTGCTGTCTGGGGCAAGGCATGGGTGAAATATCACAGGCACCACAGAAGGACTGCAGTTCTGTCTGCAAGAAAAGAAACAGGACGTGAGAACAGGGTCAGGCCTGATGCCTGTGTCGATGCAAATGGCTGGTGAGGTGCAGGAAGCAGAGAGTATCTCTGAGTATCTTGTCAGAGGTCATACAGGAGGCAGTTGCCTTTCCTATTTTCCCATCTCTGCTTTAACTTCCTTTACAAACACAGATCCCTCCTGTGTGGGTCAGGTTATTGGGAGCATTGCTCACCAGGTACCTCACTGCTGCAGTTAGTGAGATGGTGTTTTGTGTTAGGAAGATCCTCCTTGGGAAGGCTCGTCCTTCTGCCACAGCAGGTTAGCAGAGCAATCTTCATGTTTGTGCTTGGCCGTTCAGCTTTGGCTGTGTGTAATTATCTCCTTTATTGTTTTCTCTCCCCACCACTCGTGCCTTCCTCTCATCAGGAGACGACGGAGGTGAGTTGCACTCTGTTTTTGCCCGTACCAGAAGCAGGTCCTCTGGTTAAAAACACAAATACTGGGAGTCTTCAGGGTTCATGGCGTGGTTTTTTCAGTGCTGGCTGCTGCTGAGGAAGCAGCTCTCAGGCTGTGCTTTGGAAGACACTTGGTGGGAGCAGAGTGCCTCACTGCAGCTCCCTGCTGGGAGGGCTGAGCCCCGGAGCTGTTTGTGCTCTGTGGTACTGGGCCTGTCTGTGGGACATCCTTCCTGTCTCCAAACTATTTCCAAATCCTTTTCTGTTCTCCAGATTATTTTCAAGCAGGTGGTAGCAGGGGCCAGTGTGAAACGCTGCCTTGTGTGATTGTACACATTTGGTTGTGCTGTTTCATTTCTTTCCAATAAAAATACCCCCTCCCCACACTCAGCAGTAAAGAAAGCAGTCTGTGGCCTTTGTTTCCCTGTAGGTCACAGCATCACGCAGTGGTTTTGCCCCCCACCAGCTCTTGCCAAGGTGGGTGGGAAGTTATATCTGTCTGCTGCCACCACTGCCTTATAGAGACATCAGGCAGGCAGAAGAGTGGGGAGGAAAACCCTTGGTGCTCTCTTCTACCACCTCTATCCCTGCTTCTGCAAACTGGAGTGAGCAGAGTTGCTCTAGGTCTGGTCTCAAGGGTGGTGTCAGGTTTTTGGCCGTGGGAGCAGTGGTGGGGAGAGGAGGGCAAGGGGTGTCAGAATCACAGCACGGCCTGGGTTGCACAGGAGCACAGTGCTCATCCAGCTCCAAGCCCTGCTGTGTGCAGGTCGCCAACCAGCAGCCCAGGCTGCCCAGAGCCACATCCAGCCTGGCCTTGAATGCCTGCAGGGATGGGGCATCCACAGCCTCCTTGGGCAACCTGTGCCAGTGAATCCAGTTCCAGAGCCCAGCCCTGTCATGTTGGTGCATCATCCTGTTGTCTCCTGAAAAGTGTTTCCAACTACAAACGAAAATGCCATGGTGTGGTGGAGCCTTCCTGCTGCTTGAAGGCACTTGAGACTGACGTGCTCTTTCTCCTTCTGTTTGCAGGGCAGACGTTTTACAAGTGGTTGAAAGGTAATCCTTCTCTCTAAACCTGGCATCTCTTCTTAGGATGAATGCAGAATGGCCGTGGAGCGGGTGGGGGCTGCTTGCTGCTCTGGGGTTGGCTGAGATCCATCTGACAGTCAGGAGAGGAAAATTCAGTATATGCTTTCAATATCTTCAAATGCTTGTTGTTTATTTTCCCTTTTTCTTCTTTTCCTCCAGGTGTCTGCATAGAGAAACGAGCTTTCTACAGGCTCATTTCTGGTCTCCATGCAAGCATCAACATTCACCTGAGCGCCAGGTACCTCTTACAAGGTAACTGCCACTTCCTGACAGAGCTGTCCTGCATCAGCTCTTAATTGGCACAGCCTTCAGATCCGTGGCTCAGCTAAATGCCAGTGCAGCCCTGCCAGCAGGGCTCAGGCCTGCTTCTATGCTCCTGTTCTCTCTCCCTCAGCACACAGGTTGTGTGACAAAATCAGGAATGCACTTGTTGCATGCCTTTGGGCGTGCAAATGCTGGGCTCTGCTCTGTGCTCAGCCTTCCTGCACGTATGCCTTTTATTCTTCCTCCATGGTTATTTTGGAGTGTGTTTCTAATTGCATATCTCCCTAGCCTGTTCTTACGGCAGTCAGATAGCAGTAATTTCATCCAGACTGAGAAATGCTTGGCTGGGCTCCTCCAAGTCCCTCGAGCTATTTCCGTGTGCCATTCCCACTTTCTTTGCATCCCTTGTCCACAGGCAGCTATCTAACAAATCTCCATTTAACCCTGGGGTTGGAAATACAGGGTGATGTGAGAGCATGATTTCCTTGTCCCACACGGCCGGGGTCCGTGCTGAAATGGAATAAATCTGGTAGGCTTGGTGTACAGACATCACTGTGAACTCCCACAGCTGTATCCTTCAGGGAGTCTGAGCTGTGCCCCACACTGCATGGACAGCGTAGGCCTTGGCCACGGGAGACAGCTTGGAAGAGTTGGGGTTGATGGAAGGGCTGTGGCTTCTGAAAGCTTGGACCCCTTCGGTTAGAGATGCACGTCACCACTGAGCTTGGGACACTGGGAGGGAGCGAAGCAGAGCTGTGTCTGCCCACCTGGTGTCTTTGATTCTGTGCTCTCAGATACGTGGTCAGAGAAGAAATGGGGCCCCAATGTTACGGAGTTCCAGCAGAGGTTCGACGAGGTTCTCACCAGAGGGGAAGGCCCCAGAAGACTGAAGAACCTGTATTTTCTGTACCTGATTGAGCTGCGGGCTCTATCCAAAGTGCTGCCCTTCTTTGAGCGCCCAGGTTTCCAGCTGTACACAGGGAATCAAAGCCACGATGCAGAAATCAAGAGCCTATTGCTGGAGGTTCTGCGCCTGGCCAAGTAATTACGTTCGGTACCCGGGGAGAATGGCTCTTTCCAGCCTGGCATCTCTGAGCCTGCTTAACCTTTCGCTTAAAGCTCCTAGAAAGGCAGGTTGTGGGTTCCTTCTTGGAGTGGGATGGCATGATTTGGTAGCGCTGCTGGGAGCTCGTTGGTATCTGCATTCAAATTGCAAAACGGGGTAATTAAGCCCGCTGTTTAATAGCCTAGGCTGGCTTTTTGATTTAGCAGAGTTGAACGTAATAACCTCCTACACATCAGTCCTGAAATTGGCTACCTGGTTGAGTCATCTGTGAAATGCCAGGCCTGCTGTCATGTTTTTTGCTGGCAAAAATGCCAGCCGTGCACCTAATGGGGGGTTGATGGGCAGCGCTGGGAGAATGAGGAGCAGGAGGCACCAGAACCAGGTGGAAGTGGGTGTCTCTAACATGGTGGGTGTTTGAATTTCTCTCCTCACGCTGCCGTGCCTTCGCTGCTTACGTCTGTCAGAAAACAGACCACAATTGCTTAGAAACCACAGAGCAATTGCTGAGAGCGTCTCCAAGGTGAAATGCAAGCTAAAATTGAAAGCCTCCAAGAGATGGGAGAAGCAAGCAGCTTGCAGTCACACACAGAAAGTCTCCAGCTGTATTTTAACACCTGGCAGCTCTGTTCTCATACCTAACCAAGTACTCCTGTGAACCTGAGTTAAGCTGCACAAACTGCAGGGAGATAAAACATTTTTGTTCCATTTCAGGTCTTTTCCACTGCATTTTGATGAAAACTCCTTCTTTGCAGGGAATAAAAAAGAAGCTGCTAAACTAAAGGTAAGTGCCCAGCCCTTCCTTTCGGGATACTTTGTACCCGCAGAGTATTCTGGATGTGTCTGGAATAGTACTGCATCTGAAGGGGACCCAATAGGTTTAAGGAACTGGATTGGACATCTCCAATTCATTCTGGTTTGGGGAGCTGCATGTTGTGGGTGTTCCTTTGTCATAGAATCCTAGAATGGCCTGGGTTGCACAGGAGCACAGTGCTCATCCAGCTCCAAGCCCTGCTGTGTGCAGGTCGCCAACCAGCAGCCCAGGCTGCCCAGAGCCACATCCAGCCTGGCCTTGAATGCCTGCAGGGATGGGGCATCCACAGCCTCCTTGGGCAACCTGTGCCAGTGCCTCACCACCCTCTGGCTGAAAAGCTTCCTCCTCATATCCAACCCAAACCTCCCCTGTCTCACTTTAAAACCATTCCCCTTGTCCCATCACCACCCACCCTCACACACAGCCGTTCCCCTCCTGTTTATCTGCTCCCTTCAAGCACTGAAGGCCACCATGAGGTCTCCCCTCAGCCTTCTCTTCTCCAAGCTCAACAAGCCCAGTTCCCTTGACCTTTCCTCACACAGAGCTGCTCCAGCCCTCTGCTCATCTCAGTGCCTCCTCTGGCCCCGCTCCCAGAGCTCCACGTCCTTCCTGTGCTGGGGGCCCCAGGCCTGGACGCAGCGCTGCACAGGAGCCGAGCAGAGGGGGACGATCACCTCCTTGTCCCTGCTGGCCGCCCCTTCTTCATGCAGCCCAGCACACAGCTGCCCTTCCAGGCTGCAGGCGCTCACTGCTGCCTCACGTCCAGCTTCTCTCCCACCAGGACCCCAAGTCTGGCTGCTGCTGAGGATCTGCTCCAGGATCCATTTCTCCAACTTGTTTCCACGGAATTTAGCCTGAACAGAATTAACACGCTTGGGTTTGGATTAATACATGGAAGACGTGGTTAGAGTGTAACTGTGATCAGTTTACATCTCTTTTCCCCTAGGAGGAGGTCAGGCTACACTTCAAGAATATTTCCAAGATAATGGACTGCGTTGGCTGCTTCAAGTGTCGCCTGTGGGGGAAGCTGCAGGTGAGCTCTGTCAGCAGAGTGGGGCACGACTGGGAGCAGCTCATTTGATGGGACCGTGGGGCACAGAGGTGGTTCTTAGATATGTCAGCTCCGAGGTCCAGACCAGTGCCAGTGAGCAGGAGGCTGTGTGAGGATCCTGGGGCTGCCAGCAGCTGCCCGTTGCCTTTGCAGTTGGAAACTGAGTGAACTTCCTGCAGCTGCAGGAGGGACACGGGTGCTGTGGGACCGGGGCTCAGCCAGATCCATGCTGTGCCTTGTGTGTGGTCAGACCTGGGCAGGAAGCCTTTGCTGGGCAGCTCTGTCTCATGCCAAACAAACAGAACGTCCTGGCTCTGTCCTGCTTCCTTCTCTTTGCTGTGTTACGTGAAGGCCGAGTCTTGCCCTGTTAAGTTGATGTCAACAGGAACCTTTGCAAAGACAAGGAAGGGAAGCAAAGTCGGGCTCACGTGCCAGGCTCTGGATGCCTGTGGTGTTAAACCATCTCCTTTTCACACGCAGACACAGGGCCTGGGCACAGCGCTGAAGATCCTCTTTTCTGAAAACCTGATAGAAAAGATTCCTGAAAGCGGCCCTTCCTATGGATTCCAGCTGACGAGACAAGAAATCGTGGCTCTGTTTAATGCTTTTGGAAGGTTGGTGTGAGACCTTGTGCATGCTGCTGCACTGCATCCCTCTGAAGCTTAATCAGCAATTGGCAATATTGGTGTGAGCTGCTGGTGGCACTTTCTTACAGAGAAGCCCTCAGATGCCCAGTGGTGTTCATGTGGAAGAGCAGCGGTGAACAATTTAAAGCAACTTGTTTATATGCTGTATTTTTGTAAGGAATTGAAGGAAGTGCTTGAATTAACACACAAAGAACTCAGTGTCTTTTAAGAAACGCTGTGACCGCCCAGGGAGCACGCTGTCCCCAGACAGAGGTTGCTCTTCTTACCTATTTTTGCTCCCTCCTTCAAGCACTGCAGTTCTACCAGTTTGTTCCCAGTTCCACCCTCCAGCAGTGGCATTTATTGGGCAGCCATCAGCCCCGTCCCCAGGGGCAGCAGGATGAGGCTTTGGCAGAAAAGGAAGGGAGCTGTGCAGGTCCTCATCTCTGCTTTCTGTTAGAAAGTGAGCTGGGTTACTCAAAATCATCTTAAAACAGAAGGCAGTCCTGGCAGGGAGAGGCAGACCCTGTCTGTAAGGAAGAGAAAGTCCCAGGCCTTATCCTCAGAGCCCAGTCCTGCATCTTTACTGATGCTCTGCATCCAGAATGCATTGAGCAAGGAGATGAGGGGCACGATTGAAAGAGACCTTCAGGGGAAGCCAACTCCTCCTGCAGGGAGACGCAGCCATCTGCATGGCTGGTAATGCTATGGTCTGTTTCTTGACCTCCAGTTAATGGGTCTGTCTGATGGCTGCTGTTCCTCTGTCTCTCCATAACAGAACCTCATGTATACTTGGTTACAGCCAGGCTCTTCTTAAAGCAAAACCTCATTTAGCTGGATTTCTAAATTCTCTCCCTCCCTGCTCAAAGCTCCCCTTGCCAGCGCTCCCTTTCTTGCTTTATTCAGAAGGCCGTGGCTGTAATGCTTTTGTTGCCCTCAGGATTTCAACAAGCGTCAGAGAACTGGAGAACTTCAGGACCCTCCTACGAACCATGCGGTGAATCCAGCACAGGAAGGCCCAAGCTTTCCTCCCACCTCCTGGGTTCTTCAGCAATAGGCAAACGCCTCAATTCCACTGAGGGCTGCAGGTGAAGGCCACTTGCTGAGCCTCAGGCTCCTGGTTGACTGTCTGTCTGGAAGCTGCTGGTGCCAAATATTTTGTACAAGACCAAAAACCTGCTGTTTTGTATAGAAGTGAGGCCGTATGTAAAGTTTATTTTACACAGATCGTTCTGAATGACTTCTCTAAATACTGCTGTGGTGTTTGAATGGGTGAGGCTGCTCTCTTTACCTTCAGAAGCTGAAGGCAAAGCCTGAATAAAGTTGGGGAAAATTCCTCCATCTGGTCCCTGACTCCATGCTGGCTCTCACAGCATCCTTAGAGAGGCTTAGAGGAACAAATCCTAGGATGGCCTGGGTTGCACAGGAGCACAGTGCTCATCCAGCTCCAAGCCCTGCTGTGTGCAGGTCGCCAACCAGCAGCCCAGGCTGCCCAGAGCCACATCCAGCCTGGCCTTGAATGCCTGCAGGGATGGGGCATCCACAGCCTCCTGGGGCAACCTGTGCCAGTGCCTCACCACCCTCTGGATCCAAAACTTCCTCCTCATATCCAACCCAAACCTCCCCTGTCTCACTTTAAAGCCATTCTCCACCACTCTGGGACAGAACAGGGTGTTGCTGCACTTTTCTGACCTGCTGCTTTGCATCCCATGCTGCTGGGTGAGCAGATGGCGTTTCAGGCCAGTGCTGCAGGGGGAGCAAGGCCCCTTCCTTGCAGAAGACGATGGGGTTTGCAGCGTGCTGAAGGAATCCTGCAGCTCACCATTTGGCCACCTCATGCCTCCATCTTGTGTGAAGACAGGCGAGCAGCAGCCAGGCCCCGCTCCTGCCAGGTGCTGAGCTGAAAGCACACCCTGAAATCGGTGACTGTGGGTTTTGTTCTTACAAGAAAGCAGAGCGTGGGCATAAAGTAAGGCAAACACAGGGCCGGCGCAGCCCCCCTCCCCAGCTCTGCTGCCAGCAACCAGAGCAGTGAGAGAAAACAGGGCTTTGTCAGAGGCAAGCTGCACTGCTTGCAGCAAGTGCCTGAGGGCACCCACCTGCCTCAGGGCAAGGGGAGCTGAAAGCGAGGCCCCTCGCAGCAGGTTGTGCCAGGAGCTGAGCTGGGGCCTCTGGTGCAGCCAGTATTGGAGCCTTTTGGTTTTCCCAGCCCTCCTCAGACCATTAAGCCCAGCTCAGGATCAGCTCATCATGCTGGAAGCCGGGTGAGGCTACAAAGGGCATGGATGTCCCTGCGAGGGGCTGCCGCTCCTCAGCTGTTCAGCAGCCGACGCAGAGCTGAATTCTGCCGCTGCAAGGACAAGAAGCTGGGGAAGTAGGGCAGAGCTGCCGGCACAGAGCAGAGGCTGCAGCTCCTCCTGGGCCAGGCGCACCCGGCTCTGCTCTCAGCTCCCCGGCAGCCCCGGCCCACAGCCCTACAGCCGTGTGCTCAGCGCCGAGGCCTCGCCCCCAGGTGAGCGCACGCTCTGGTGAAGCAGCTGCGATCTGCAGGGAGCTCAAGGCCGCGGCTGATAAACCCGTGGTGTAAGGAAATATGGGAACACGGAGTTGCTGAGATGAGGTTTCTGCCTCCTCCGCAGCTCGGTGCCAAGGAGATGCTGGCTGGGTCACAGCTTGAGAGTAGGACAAAGCTCAGCCCACGCAGAAGCATCTCCTGCCCTGGGAGCTGCAGGCACAGGAGCAGAAACCAGAGAAGGGCAAAAGGTGCAGCTTGAGCCCCTTGCTCCCAGGCCTGGAGGAACAGCAGTGGATAATTCCTGCCATGCTGTAAGGTGGGGGGGCTGCAGACCCCTCCCCCAACCCACCTGCAGGCGCTCCCAGCACAGCCATGCAGACGCAGACCAAGAATGGAGGCTGCAGGACAACAGCTGGAGCTGCCAGGAGCAAAACTCAGCAGGACCTGTGGCAACGGAGCACAGAAACTTGTTTTTATTTCAACATAGTAGTGCTTGGTTACAGTTTAGTGAAGAAGAAATAGGTACATTCATTGGCCACAGCTTCCTGTCGCAGCCAGCAGCTGCCAGACTGCAAAGCCAAAAACACTGTTAAAGAACACAAAAAATAATAATAAAGAAGTTCAATGAAAGGCAACTATGCATTAAAAAAGTCATTGTACTTCTCAGCTATAAATTACTTCAGTAAAACACGAGACGACCCCAGCAGGAGCAGCCGGAGTTGTGAAATTAACGGCCATCCGTACAAGTGAATAAAAGCAAACCGCTCCGCCACTCGCTCCCGAGTACATCAGCAACGAGACTCACTGCCAGCCCAGCGCCAGGAAGATCGAATGGTTGTGTGCTTCAGTGCAATACGAACAGTGAGCCTGTAGCCCTTTAGTTTTTTATTTTTTGCACTACGCTCCCTTCCCTCCAAAGAAAAACTTAAAGTGCTCCGAGTGCTTTGGAATTTAAGCAAGAACAGGGGCCGCCAGTGTCACTTCTTGTCTTTGGTGACTTGTGGCAGAAGAAAGAAGGACAGGACGGGCTGGGTCCTTCGTTAGCTTTGCTGTAAGCCAAGCAGCGATTGAGATGGAGCAACCTGTTTGTGCAGCCCGGAGGGAGGAGGCAGGTCTGTTACACCAGGGGGCAGCAGCCAGGGGAGCGGAGGCAGTCAAGGCGAAGAGCTCTGGTTCAAGTACTAAAGGAGAGGGATGCGCCAGAAGCTGTGGTCTCAAAACCCTCCCCAACAGCAGCAGAGGTTGCTCCTTTTCTGGGCCAGTAAGAGTGAGGCAGGTTAGCACGGAGGAGGCCCACACGTCAGCACAGGGAGCACAGCGAGAGGAAAGGTGTTCTCAGTGCAACCAGTGACATCAGCTCAACGCAAGCAAGGTGGGAGACGGGGCGCCTGCCATGCGAGAGGGCAAGGCTGCAGGAGAGGCCAGGGCTGCCCCAGGGCTCCTCACACACTGCCACGTGGACACAAGCTGCCCAGGGCCTTCAGCACCCACTGCCACCCCTCAGGCAGACCCAGGCTGCACTGTGCTGCTCCACACAGATGCATGGCCTCCAGCTCTCCCAGTATCAGGTGGGTGTCTGAGCAGCTTCAAGTAGGTTAAAAGCAGTTCCAGTTCAAGTTTTCACTAGAGGTCAGAGCAGCTGCTTGCCTAAGACCAGCACCTCCCACCCAAGCACGTGGCCAAAGCTGCTCTGCTCATCCCACAGAAGGCTCAGAGACTTGCTGGGAGTAACATCCAGTCTTACACAGTCTCATCTCCAAGAGCCCAGAGCTGCAAATCAAGTCAAACCTGGCCATTCCAGTTCAAGAGAGGGAGATACATCTGGAAAGCGATCTCCTCCTCACCTGACCCAGCACGCTCAAGCCCTGTGAGCACTGCTGAGCCCCCAGCACAGCTGCTGCAGGACTCCAGGTCCCCAGCCTGCACCAAGGCTCAGGAGAGAGGCAGGAGAGGAAGGAAAAGAGCCCAGGGCCCAGGTTTCTGTAGCTTTACCACTGCGTGCTGCCACCACAACAAGAGGCATCCTGCACCTCCACGGTGACCCCGCTGGTTCACATTTGGTCAGCTTAAAGTCTTGTCCTCTGCTAAATGCAACTCAGTACTGAGGGGCAACAGGAGAGGCCCCACGCTGGGAAAAGCAGCTCTAGTTTCACATGCAGCTCAGGCCACACGTGTTCCTGGGCACACTTTTGCAGAGGCCGCTCCAGCCCTAAGCTTTCCAAAAGGAAGCAGCCTGCAGAGCCTCGCTCCCTCCCTTCGCTCCAGCCCAAGGCAGCCCTGCCATAACACCGCTGCGCCAGGAGCACTCGATCTCACCATCACAGGTCTTTGCTACAGATATGCTTTGAGCTCAGCTTCGAGCCCACCGCCCCAGGCAGGATTCAGCCTCCAGGTGGAAGGACCAGCAGTCAGAGAAGGCCCGCTCTCAGCCCAGAGGCAGCAGCCCCACAGGGTGCGAATATGGCACGCAAACACACTGCAGGAGGCCCTGCCCGTAACACTGTTAGCCCAGCTTCACACTCCCACGTGAGTCAGGATGCAGAGTACTTCACGGAATACATCTTTGCAGGAAGACAGTGCCTCTCCCAGCTATGGATGTGCAATTAAAAGAGTAACTAGAACAGTCTCAGACCGGACACAGTCTGAGCAAGATTCATTCCTTCCAAGTGTGCAGATAAAAGTGCAAATATGCATTTGATGTTTCTTTTCTAGTGAGGAAGCTCTGGTGCATTTAGCTGCCAACATCTTGAAGACCAGACCAAGAAAAAGCTTCCAGAGAGTTCAGCTTCACTTTGCTACATGGTACCTTGAAGTCACAGTTCTCTCGCTTACCGCCTGCAGCCATAGGCTCCGTCCTGCTTACGGCTGCAGCAGGTAGTGGAATGTTTGTGTCGATGAGTTAGATGCTTCAGGGAAGAGGGAAAGAAAACCAGGTTACAATCCTATACATGAATGCCACTTCTGGGAGAAAAGGGGCCTCGCAGCCTCTTCAGTTCTGTGCTGCAGGGTATGAGCTGTGGTGGTTACTCAGCTCCGAGCTGCCTGCAGCAGAGAGCAGCGGGGCACTGTCGGTACCAGTTCCACTGGGGGGGGGACCCGCTGTGTAGCTGTCGTTCCCAGCCAGAGACCCGTAGCAGCCAGAGCACTGAGGGGTGGCCAAGCTGGGAGGAGAGAGGGAGAAACCAAACGGGGACTCAGGCAAGTAATTGGATTGCTTATCCTCCAAGCAGCTCAGAAAAGACTTCTGCCCCAGCTCTGCCCATGGTGCAAGCCTGCGTATCCCAGCCCGCTTCTGCAGATGTGGCATCTCCAAGGAACCCGGCCTTGGGGTGTGAGGAGAGGAGCAGCAGGCCCTACAAAACCAGCTGGGAAGAGGTGCAATCTCCCCATTCCTCACTAGAACCCATGGTCCTCAGAGCCCCGAGCAGCAAGGCCAGGGTTGCCAGACTTCCCTTTATGGTCTTGCTGCAGACACCAAACCCTTCTCCCCCAGCCCAGGCTTTCCTACAGATCTGCCCCAGCTGGCTCCCAGACTGCAGCACCTCACTTTCTAGAAGAGCTCCTCTGCAGTAATTTAGGGGCTTCCTCTCCTCAGCTGAAGAAACATCCTAAGATCAGCCTGCCCAGATGAGGCCTCCTGTCCACAACCGCTGCACTTCCTACCTACAAGCACCCACTGTGGATATCCACCTCTCAGAGGACATCACTCTGAGTAGAAACAGCTCTGACTTACAGAAGGGGTAAAAGCAAGGTCGTTCACAAGCCCCCTTGACCATCCACCTTGCCCAAGCTGCCTCCTGTGTCAGAAGCAGCTCTGTTGCTTCCA